AGATATTTCCTTTGCAACATCTCAACCAACAACTGGTCCAGTTATCAATACTATTTTCAAGTTTTGAACAACTCGACTTTCAAGATCTACATATCTACATGTTTCTGTTTATCAATGTTATATTTTAAGATCTGTGCAAGAACTCAGCTAACAGATGTTTCAGCATATAAAAGTTATATTTGATTGTTTTTTCTACTTGTAATTTTCCCCACATTTATCAAAAACTATAATTCATTCAGCTACATACAAATCTGCTGTAAACATGGAAAGCGTTACACTTAGTTACAGAATTATATGTTGTTATATAAAAACATGGAAAATGTTATAATTTGTTACATGTTACATTTGTTACATTTGTTATATTAAATATAAACATAGAAATGTTAGAAATTAATATTACATATACAAGTTTTAATATTATATATATAAACATATAAATGTTAGAAATTATTACATATACAAGTTTTAATATTATATATATAAACATATAAATGTTAGAAATTATTACATATACAAGTTTTAATATTATATATAAATAAAGAAATGTTAGAAAGTATCACAAACAAAAGTTTTTATATTAAACATAAACACAGAAATGGCCCAGCATGGCCAGGTGGTTAGAGAGCTCAACTCGCAATCTGTAGGTCATGGGGGTCAAATCCCCATCCCACCAAACATGCTCGCCCTTTCAGCCATGGGGGCATTATAATGTGATGGTCAATCCCACTATTTGTTGGTAAAAGAGTAGCCCAAGAGTTGGAGGTGGGTGGTGATGACTAGCTGCCTTCCTTCTAGTCTTACAATGCTAAATTAGGGACAGCTAGTGCAGAGAGTTTGGCGGAAGGTGTGAGCAACAGAGAAGTGGGGAGGAAGGGTGGGAAGTCTGAGAAGAGGGAAGTACCTATTGGAAATACATTTTCAGTATAGAAAAATTATAACTTCTGATGAGGTACTTTACTTCCTCTCACAAGATTAGCTAGAATCCCACATTGAGAAGGAGGAGGGACCTGTGTGAGTGAATTAAAGAACTACCCCCGAAATCATCTTATGATACCCCTGACAATGAGAGATATAGATCCAAATTTCAGAGGAGGGAACCACACCACTTCTGAGCCAGATATATTACACAATCTGCACAAGGGCGGAAATTGTGAAGTGTAGAGTGGCTAGAACATGGCAAACTTTACTTAGTAAGTCAACTACATCCAAAACCTCCTTGCGGGGTACTGACATCTACGCTATGGTAGGATAAGGATCATACCATCTTCACCTCATACCCTAGAATTGGGGAATAAGACCTGCACTGATTTCTGGGTATGCCACAAGGATCATCATCGATCTATCAAGCCGGGAATTAACATCCAATATTGAAATCATGTCTATAACATCCCCATAAGAAGAGAACAAGGGATAGTCTAGGGTAGTACCAGAACAAACCCATGTACTACCGCTGTAACCAAATACACAGATGCAGCAATTGGTTAGGAATGTCATCACCAGAGACAGTGAAATGGGTAACCACAAAACCTTATTTTGAACAGCAGACCATACCAAGTTATTCACTCGAGGCATGGCAGGGATAGGCAGCAATCTCCTTTTACTTTACCCATGTAGTCCATGGGTGGTACAGTCTGGAAAGGGCATGTTTATGAAGCAAATTATCGCAATTTAATTAACCATCAAGTGATCTTGTGGAACACCCCATCTCGATGGTAGGCGTGCAAAGCCATGGATGAGAGAGTGCAAGCCAACATGGCTGGCAGTGCGGATTTAGAGTTAAATAATACCTGGTCAGCCACCACTCGCTACACAGTGAAATCCATGTGATAAGATGAGAGAGAAAGGACCCTGAAAAAAAAAGAAAATGAAGAATACTTACCAGTTAAAGTCACACCAAAGTCTGGAAAATGGACACAGGTGATAGACAAAACCCTGACACAGAGGAAAGCACGATACAATGAATGTACTGGGAGTGGTCCACATGCCAGATTGTAGAATCTCCTGCATCGCAGACAAAGACGAGAAGCAAGGGAAAAGGTGAGATGTCAGATCTGATGGGAGGAACCATGGAATAAGGTACAGGAGTAAGAAGGCAGGGAATAGTAGGCACAAGTGACCCAAAAGGCTGATCTAATTTGTAAGAGTAGAAAGATCAAAAAGTGAGGAGGACTGCGAAGGGATAAAAAGTTGGTTGCACGTACCCTGAAAAGTAGTTTTACGTGCTATATAACAATAAAAGGCCCTGACTGGACACAAAAGCCTATTCGGATCCGGTCTATGGTAAAGATGGGATATAGAAGGAAAAGGAATAGGAGAAAAGGACGAACAAACCTCCTGAGCTACTGAGGTCTTAGAGAGAAAGGAACAATTGTGATAAAGGAGAAGATAGGTAGGGTGATAAAAGGTACATGAAACGTCAATGGCAAACAAATCGAACTGTCGATGTCCACAGGCCAAGAGAAGAAGCAAATATATTTAAAGGGGCAAATGAAACAAGAAGCATGAGGAAAGTGGTTCAAATGGAGGTAAGGTGAGAGCATGGAGGACCACATTAATGTACCAATCCAGAAGGGCAGGATGCCTTGGAGTCCTCCAAATCCAGAAGAAATTCATGAGCACAGTAAGAACAGGGGAAGTGGTATTGGGAAAAATGAAAGGTATGGGATAGGGCCACCTGATATCCAGAAAGCGAGGAGAATGAAGACCCACAGTCAAAAAGCCAGGTGAGAAATTCTGCCACATGACCCACAGAAAACTTGTCAGCAGGAAATCCCCTGTTGGCAGACCAACAGTAGAAGACTTTCCACTTATGCTAGTATACTTCCATGGAAGATGGCTGTAAGGAACTAGCTAACAAGGAGGCAACTCAATGTGTGAAACAGGATCTTCTTGCCAAGGACCAGACAAAAGCCAAGCATGAAGATGCAGAATGGGGATATTGGGATATAAAATGTGGGATCAAGGTTGACAAGGAAGGGAGGGAGAAAGTGAAAGAGGGACAGGTGGTTACAGGAGTAGACATTGTAAACTTGGAAACCAAGATGGTACTGGTTTGAGGGTACATATAAAGGTATTTGTGTGACCAATTCTGGCTGAAGGCATCGACCACCAAAGCCTGTGAATGCAGTACAGGTGACTAAAAGAGGGACAACTTGGTATTGTGGCCCATGGCAAAAGCATTGAATTGGGGAGAACCCCATCGATGGCAAAAGTCCCTGAAAATGAGAGGATCTAATGCCCACTCCATTTGATAGATCCGGTCTAGGAGTGAAAGACGATCTGTAACTAGATTGAAAGCACCTGGCACATGACACGCAATAAGACAAATGTGATGTGCATGAGCCCAGTATAATAGATCCAATGTCCAAAAACAATAATCTCTAGACCGGGTTCCCCCTTGGTGGTTGATATGTGCCACAACCTTAGAGTTCTCCAAATGAACCATCACCAGACAATGATGATCTGCAACAAGACTGAAGCACCTGACACATGACATGCGATAAGATGAATTGGTGTGCATGGGCCCAGTACAATAGATCCAATGTCTGAAAACATAGATCTCTAGACCTTAATTGTGAGACAAATTGATCTGCATGTACCTGAATATCAGGGGATAAAATATTACAAACCTAAGACATAAAATCTGTGAAGATCACATTAGGCCTAGGTGATTCTTCAGGTTGCAACTGAGAAGGAGTGGCAAACTTTGGAAGTGGGAAAAGATTATCAAAATCCTCATCATTCTGAACAATTTCAGCCAACTCAGGAGGAACCTGGCAAAGTCAGGAGATAAAGGTTGACCCATGTAGCATTCAATCCCCTGATGTATATAAGCATTGAGATTCACTGTCGGGTCGCCCAGACCTGAGGCCAGAGAAAAACATTGATCACTGGTGTGACCCCCGAAATATTAACATGAACTTTAGAATTATAACTCAAGAAATTATTCACAAATTGTCGAGTGCAGAAATATAGCGACAAGAATGGACTGGTATTAAAAAAAACTGAAAAAGGAACCACTTCGTGTGAAAAAACATTTGTTTGGCACACTAGAAGCACTAAGCACACAAAAGAAGACGTCTAAACTTAAACGCTGTCAAACGAGAAGTGAAGGTTCGGTAGAGGAGTGTAGACAGAGTCACATGCATCACATGAGTATGTCATGCTACTATTGATTAAGAGATGACACATGATGATTTACATGAGAGACATATTGGAATATAATAATTTCAACAAAAGGGGAGTGCAAGGCTTGTGGCATACATAAAGAAAAAGTTTGCATATAGAGGGCAGCGCTGAACAAGAATAACTAATCTTGTGAGAGGAAGTAAGTACTGTATCGGAATTTCAAGCTCACTAAAGTCTTACCTTACCACTTTGAATTTAGCATAAAAAGAAAGAGTTTGCTGCCCAAATATTTCAAAAAGGCTGAGAAAGCCACTGGAGAGACATTCTGAGATTTCATTTGGTTATTCAGACATCTTAGACAGATGTACGTGTACGTAAGCATTTCCAAAATTGGAAAGAGGTGATGGGGCTACTTTGTTTAAGTCAGTAAATGTAAGCGATATCTCAGCAAATAGAAAATATAGGAGTTATTTAGTTTATATTCTAGCTTGTCAATATGCATAATTCAAGTTCTTAATTTGTAAGAAATGATAGACTTTGTATTTGGACATCACAAACATCTAATTTGAACCAATGCTGCATTCAACATAAAAATCGATATTTAGGTGTGTTTTTTTAATATTTACTTTTAAATTAAGAAATTAACTCATGTATGATACTAAAATTATAATCTACAATTTGGTACCAAACTTATTGACATAAATTCTTAAATTAGTTGTTCAATAACATTTTGATTGTGAGTCGATAGGGTTAAACATAAACATATAAATGTTAGAAATTATTACATATACATGTTTTATATTAAATATGAACATGGAAATGTTAGAAAGTATCACAAATGCAAGTTATTATATTCAATGTATACATGGAAATATTAAAAACTAAAATTACATATACAAGTTTTTATACTAAATATACACACATAAATGTTAGAAATTATTATATGCAAGTATTACAGATTATGTATGAACATGGAGAATGTTAAAACTTTCTAAGAGTTTACAAATACTAATTACCCTCCACAGCTGTATTATTTTCTTGATGATCCACAATAGAAGGAGGGGCTTCTTCATCATCAGGGATCGGACGAAGGGGTGTTGATGGTTGGTCAATAGGCTCCGGTTTTTCTGGTATGCTGAAAACAATGGCACTAATATAACTTTTCTTATATAGTTGATATATTCATTACATCAGAATAGCTGGCTTGAAGAAATTAACAACTATATTACAAGTGATGTAATCATGACATAAGGACAGCTGACCTGAAGAAATGAACAACAATATTACAAGTGATGTAGTCATTACATAAAGACAGCTGGCCTAAAGACATTAACAACTATATTACAAGTGATGTAATCATGACATAAAGGCAGCTGGCCTAAAGACATTAACAACTATATTACAACTGATGTAATCATTACATAAAGACAGCTGGCCTAAAGACATTAACAACAATATTACAAGTGATGTAATCATTACATAAAGACAGCTGGCCTAAAGACATTAACAACTATATTACAAGTGATGTAATCA